CTGGCCTGCTATCCTTTGGTTTCAGCATAAATTGCTACTAGCAGTTCCGACGAAGAGTCACCGGACATGAAATGTTGTTAGCGCTGGCTTTCTTCCCATGCTGCTAGACCTGAGAGTTTCTCCAGCAATTTATATTTTTTGTTGCCTTTGAAAGTGTTCGAATGCTGGGTCCTGTATGAAGACAATGTGATGGCCAAGCTTCTGGAATAGTAAAGTAACTTGTACAGCATTTTGTGGATTTCGTTATTTAACCACCTATCTCCAATCGCCACTTGATATTGTTCAATTTACCCCTTAATATTATTAGTTTTTGTTTATTACTGCAAAACTTGAGTTTCAGTAGTCTATGCCAAATGTGACGAACACTGTTAGGGTAATTGTCTAATAACACTTAGTGCTATGATGTCCCCGTTAATTGAACAGCCTGTGGACTCTCACAAAGTTCACATATGAAAAATGAGATGAGAGTTCCAGGTGTTCACACGGAGTCTCCAACTGAGACAGTCACTTTAGGACAGCAGAAGAGGTTGAGATTGGGGCTCAACCTTGGGGAAGGAATTAATAAAATGAAATTAAATGCATCTTCTCACCAAAACGTAAGCATTTTGAACCCTTAAAGTCATGGAAAGTTTTCATCATGTCTGTGCCAGCTGAAAAACAAAACATCCAGCTCATTTCCTTTTTTGCAGCATTTGTTCCATAGCCCTGCAGGTTGCAGATCTTGAAGTACCTACACAGACACCTTTCATATGAATTGAAGATTTCATAGAATCCTTACAGTGTGGAAACAGGCCCTTTGGCCCAACAAGTCCATACCGACCCTCAGAGCATCCCACCCAGAATCCATCCTCCTAATCTACACAGCCCTGAACACTATGGGCATTTTAATATGACCAATCTACTTAGCCTGCACATCTTTGAACTGTGGGAGGAAGCCAGAGCATCCGGAGGAAACCCACGCAGACACGGGAGAATGTCTGTGTGAAATTTGCACAGACAGTCACCCGAGAGTGGAACTGAACCCGGGTCCCTGGCACTGTGAGGCAGCAGTGCTAACCACTGAGCCACCATGCTGTACCCATTTCTGCCTTGACAACAATTTCAGGCACTGAATTCCAAACCCTTACCATTCTCTGAGTGAAAACAATTCTCCTCTAATCTTTCTGCCAATCACTGTATAGTCACTGACCTCTTTGCTAATGTAAATAGGACATTCCCATCCACTCTATACAGAGCCCTCATAATTTTGTACATCTCAATCAGTTAAATTCAATCGAAAGCTAGTGTCAGTCATGGTAATCATGAAACTATCATCAATTATTAGTTAAAGCTCATCTAGTTTGGTAATGTCTTAACAGGTCCCTCAGTTCAAGACAATAAATAAATAGGCAACAAATGCTGGCCTTGCCAATGATGTGCATATCCCATGAAAGAATAAAGAAATATGAGGCATAGATCTTCACATTTCAGAAGCTAAAAACCAAATTTGAATACAATGAAAAGGGGGCATGAAAAATGAAAATGTTTCTAATAGTAAAATGATTGAATTACTGTAGGAGGATCAGCTGGCCACTTGGCCCCTTGAGCTTGCTCGGTCATTCAATCAAACCATGGTTGATCAGATTACTGAAATTAAACATTGCTAACAAGAGTCAAGATGTTGAAGCTTTTTGTCTTGCACTCATCTGAACTAGGATGCAAGAAATAGACTTTAACAAATGGACATCATCTCACACAACATGAGAAGAGGGTGTTGATTGGTTGGGCCATCATTGGCATGAAGATGCAGCAAGAACCGTTAACTGTCAATCTTAATTGAGAGCAGGTAGATTATGATTGCTCAGGGTGTTGCCATGGGGATGGAGCAGAGACTTGCTGTCTCTATCTTTGAAAAGGGTGTAATATTTGTACAAATTTCTTTTGCCTACACAAGTGTGTTTACGTATGTAGCTTCTAGAATGCACAAATGTATTGCATTGCAAGCCCAGATTTTTAATCAAATTCAAATTTCCCCATCTCCTGTGGCAGAATTCTAACCCAGGTCCCCAGAATATTTCCCGGATCTCTAGATTAACAGCCCAGTGATAATGCCACTACGCCATCACCTACCTCCCTGAACTGCAAGCCTAAGTGATGATCTTAAATTGTTTCCTGGTGTAACTATTAGCACAGTCAAGATTATTTATGATAAGATTTCCAATAGCAGAATCATTTCTGATGGTTCTAATTTTCTGCAACTTGCAAGTTTTGGATGGTTGAACACAACTGGCATGCTACCAATGTGAAAGTTGTACGTATGTAAGCAGGTCCCAATGACTGGTGGTTGGTATTAAACAAGATATCCCATTGATGATTCACAGTGGGCAGCACGCCAATTACGCAGAATCAACCTGACTTGCAAGCCTCAGAAATGAATATCCATGATTGGAAATGGTTCTGCTATTGGTAATCATTAATTAAATAATCCAGACTGTGCTAACATTTGTACCAAAAACCAATTTGGGATCATCAGCCTTTAAGCATGCTCAAAGCTACATGTATAAATACTCAAAACTCTCCCTTTGCTTACATAAAACAAATTGTATATACATTGCACCTTTCTGAAAATAACGGTCATAGAGACAGTCAGGCTCTGCTATAGTCCCATGGTAATACCCTAACCAATCAGCATCTACCTGCCCAGTCTCAAAATTAAGATTGACAGTTAACTGTTCTTGCTGCATCTCCATGTCAATAATGGCCTGACCAATCAGTACCCTTTACTTATTCTGTCTAAAATTGTGTCCTTTTGTTTGAGTATCTTTCTTATATACTAGTTCTGATGAATGCAAGATGAAAACTTCAATGTTTTGTATTCTCTTAATGTTTAAAATTCGATTATTTCACATTTCCATCTAACTTTGATAATATTTCACCCGCCACACACATTTTTTAAGAATCTGTCTTAAAAATATTCAAAGACAGAGTTCTAAAGATTTACAAACTTCCGTGAGAAAAAAAGTTTCTCTTCAAATGTATCTTAAATGGGTGAGCCCTTATTTTTAAACTAAAATTATAGATTCTCCCTCAAGAGGAAACATCCTCTCTACATGCACCCTGCGAAGGATCCTCAGTATCTTCTATGTTTTAATCAAGTCTCCTCTTCTTATTCTAAATTTCAGCAGATAAATTCTAGTCTTCCATACTTTCTTCATGAGACAGCCCACCCATTGCACGCATAAGTCTGGTAAACCTTCTCTGAACTGCTTCCAATGCATTTACATCCATCCTTATATAAAGAGACCAATATAGGGCACAGTAATCCAGGGGTGATCTCACCAATGCTCTTTATACTGAAACATAACATTTCTTCTTTTGTATTCAATTCTCCTCTCAATAAATAAAAATGAGTGTATTAACTTGTTAAAAATGCTGTATTTGCACATTAAATTTTAGCATTAGGACATCCAGATCATTCTACATCTCAGAACTCTGCAATCTCCTACCTTTTTGATAATATACTTATTTTTATTCCAAAATGGACCAGGTCACATCTTTCCACATTAAACTTCATTTGCCAAATCTTTTCCCGATCTGTATCCCTTTGTAGTCTCTTTATGTCTTTTTTCATCAAATTGTTTCTTCTCAGCCTCGTTCTGTTCACTTCTCATACCGTCATTATGGTACAGAATGAGGCCATTCAAGCTCTCGCTTTTGTTTTTTTTCGTTATTTTCACTTTCAGACAGCAGCTGACCTCATCCAGGCACCATCTTTTGTTCCTTTTCTCCTCTCTTGTTCCAAAACCATTCTTTGGCTGGAAGACCAGCTCTGCTGTCATTCAATTCCTCCCAACTTTCACCCTATCACAGAGCTTTTTTTTGCCCTTGTTCCACACAATCCTTGCTCATAACCTATTACATCTCCAACTTTTCCCAATTCTGATGAAAGCTCATTGACCTGAAACACTAACTGTGTTTTCTCTCTCCATATATGTTGCTCTTCTACTGGGTATCTCCAGCATTTACTGTTTCTATCTCATAGTTACGGCCACTGTGGTATTGTGCTTTGCATTCCCGGAACCAGTTGCACCCTCATTTGCACTTCCAGCAGGAACTCTAGCAAAATACCAGTAGTCCTGCAAATCCTTTGTTCCAACCAGTTACAAAGTTGAATAATATAACTGACTTGAGGCAATCACACGCAGTTGTGTAGCTTTGTTTCGGATTTCAAAAAAATTCTGTTCTAAGACTACAATCGGAATTTTGTGTATGAGAATGTGCGTGTTAAAGTCTGGCCCTCAGAACAGATGCAAACACAGAATTTCCAGATACAGTTTTCATTATTTATGTTTAGTTGCAGTATTCAGAATTGCTGATCCAAACGTATAATTTATTTGGGAAAACAGGATTCGTCTAGTACAATAGTCGCAGCGCAAATCTTTTCCATCTATGATTCAGTACATCGTATGAGTCTTAAGAATGGCATGAGTCACATACTGAGCTTTAGAAAACAGCACATTGTCTAGTGTTGCAGAGATTGGGATTTCAAATCTTTTTCAGTCACTAACAGAAAAATGTCATTTAAAATATCTAAGATTTTTAATTTAAGATAAATGGTCTCATTTTTGTTGAAAATTGTAATAAGCTATCAAACTAGCATATTATGCTGCTCAAATAATTACCATGTATATTCATTCGGTTTTGGTACGTATAACGGTTTCGTTAATTCTGGCAAAGGAATAACTTTGAAGCTTGAAGGAAGTGTCGATCTTCAAATTAAATACTCGAGAAATAGTAGAGCATAGTAACAAGTACAACTATTATTATTTAACGTAGGCAGGTAGATAGAGGATAAACGGTTAAATTGTGAAATATTCCCAAAATAGCAGGTGATCTCATACATAAGGTACGGAAAGAACGATAAAACTAGTCGTCGGACAGCCATGTTCATTCATCGTTTTTTTTTGCGGGAGCCAGCGGTACCATCGCATTTACTAAGTTAAACGTAGTTTAACTCTTACCTGCCAAGCAGACAATGGGCATCCACCATGAGAATCCAGAGACCCACATTTTCAGCGCCTTTTACATCCCAAATATTTTGTTAGAACTCGATACAATTTAATCCCCGATGATAAATTAAATTCCGATTCCTCATTGTAATCTCCGTGTGTGTGTCTCTCTGTGAAACTGACAGACACAAAAGTATCAAGCAGGCTTTAACTGGCACCTGTTACTCATTTACCGAGGCGAGGGGTGGGTATTCGAATGTACCCTAACTCAGGCAGATCGGAAGAGTGGAACGTGGCCTTAACCATTCAAATAAACGCATTTAGACTTTGATTATTTTTCAATCAGTTTACATATCGGCTTGAAACAATGTCGAACAGGTACATTAATTCCACGTACTAAGGTCACATATCCCCCTCTCTGACGATGGACTTTTCTAATCACATGGCTTCATTGATGCTGCTTTAGGCTCTGCTGTAGCTGAAACTGACAGCGTTACAAAACATCTTATAATCCAGCAGCCTTATTCTATTCATTTCACAATTTTCATATGTTTGATACTGAATTGGCTAAAGCCATCGTTTTTTGTGGGGTTGTATCCGTATGTAATAAATCTCAGCTTTAATGAAAATGTACAAAACACAGACATCTTCGACTGTATAAAACGCGCCTTAATTGCTATGCAACCGCGTATACTGATATATAAATCCGGTTTGCCCGACGTTAATTAATTTAGTTAAGAATGCCCGCTATACTATTCCCAGCATGAAGCCTCGACAGTTTACAAACTGTATTAAATTAAAATTTGTAACGCTTGGCTTGGGTCTGCGATATATCTGTATGCACAACAAACAGGGTTACTCAATTTTACTGCAACAGCGCAATGAACTTGCGGCATTCAGACACATCATCCAGTACAGCTGGATCAGAATTCACAACCTTGTCAGGAAAAATGGGACAATAATCCAGATGCTAACTGTTACATTCTAATCTACTGGGGTCCAGAACCAGAGAAGCTAAATACACATAAAGGGGTCATTTCCCTATCTTAACTCATCTCTTCAGCCACAAAAACCTCACCGCTCACCACCACCCCGTTTCTGTCACCTCGAATCAATTAAAGATACCATCCTCCACCACCCCCATGCCTCTGCATTCCGATTGTTCTTGATGTGAACGTGCTCTTTACGCTATCAGTTCGGATTTGACCTTTCACCCACTCTTTTATATACTTTGTTCTGCCGCAGTAGTGCCATCGAACAAAGCCTACTGACCGACATTCAGTTCCGACTTTGTGAACGCCGCTGGGCTCCAGACCACATCACCACCTGATTCAAATGTGTACGAAGGAGCTAAATGGTCAAGGACCGGTGAAAGTAGCTCCCCTGGACTATAACACTAAACAGCATTTGTAACACAGATCAAGGAATGGTCAACGGAAACAAAAACTCTCCAGTGGTCGGAGTGGTACCTGACACAAAAGGACATAGATATAGTTGTTGCAGGTCAATCATAGCAACACGAGGACATTTTCCCTCCCATCAAACTGCTGCTTCATACATGAGTTGAGTTACATGAAGATTCTTCCCAATCATGCCAATGTGAACACAATCCATTCTCAATAATGAAACTACCAAAACATCCAGGATTCATTTGACAAGAGATATATAAGATTTGTTCCCAATGAACAGTGACCAAGCACAGCACCAGACATACTTAAAATGAGGTGTCAAACTGGTGAAACTATAAAACAGGGATACTTGCAAACTATTTTAGGTAGTAAATGATCCACAGTGCTAAGCGATTTCACAACCAATAGATAGATCTAAGTTCTGCAGTTCTGCCACAACCAGTCATGAATGGTGGTGGACAAATAAACAACTCACTGGAAGAGGAGGCTCAACAACTACTGCCATCCCAAATGATGGAAGAGCACAACACTACAAAAGCTGAGGCTGAAGTGTTGGCAACAATCATCAGCCAGAAGTGTGGAGTAGTTGAATCCATGTCAGCCTACTCCACAGCATCCTGCATCACAGATTCTAGTCTTTAGATGATTTGATTCACTCTACATGATATCAAGGCCAAAGGCACTGGATACTGGAAAGGCTATGGGCTCTGACAACATTCCAGCACTGCTACTGAAAACTTGTGCTCCAAAGCTTGCTGCACCCCTGGCCAAGCTGTTCCAGTGCAGTTAATATTGGCATCTACCTGACAGTGTGGAAAATTGCCTAGGTATGTCCTACACAAGAAAAAATGAGAGATCCAACTTAGCCAATTACCATCCCATCAGTCACTCTCGATCACCAGTAAAATGATGAAAGATGTCATCAACATTGCTGTCAAGCAGCACCTGCTGAGCAATAATAAGCTGTTCACTGATGCCTAGTTTGGGTTGTGCCAGGCCCAATCAGCTCTCGACTTCATTACAGTCTTAGTTCAAATATGGACAAAAGAGCTGGATTCCCGCTGTGAGGTGAGATTGACAGTCCTTGACCTTAAGGGCACATTTGTCCAAATGTGGCATCAAGGAGGCCTAGCAAAACTAAAGTCAATGGGAATTGAGGTAAACTCTCCAATGGGTAGAGTCATACCTGGCATGTGTCCTAGACACAACCATCTTCATCTCCGATATAAGGTCCGAAGTAGGGATGCTCACTGACAATTGCAAAATATTCAGCACCATTTGCAACTCCTCAGATACAGCAGCAGTCCATGCCCAGATGTAACAAGACCAGGACAATATCCACACTTGGGCTGAAAAGTGGCAAGTCACATTCATGCCATACAAGTGCCAGGCAATGACCATCTCCAGTAAGAGACAAACTAAACACAGCCCATTGACATTCAATGCTGTTACTAATAATAACTCAGGATGCCCAACTGGAAAGGAACATCATTTATCTTTGAACAAAACAGAGCCACTGTTTGTGGTACATGGGATAGTCCCAGCCTGGGACTGACAGTTCTGCAGACCTATCCCTGGATCTGCATTTTTTTTTTATCCTTAACTTACTGTTTGAATCAGCCTGTTCAGATGTTATTACACATATCTGGAGCTGGTGGGACTTGAATCTGGGACCCCCAGTACAGGGGTATGGACACTACCATCACACCAGAAGAGGGCCCCTACCTGGGTCTGCTTAATTTTTGAAACTGAACCTATTATTCCTTATAAACCTACTCAGATATTATTACACACCTCTGGAGCAGGTGAGACTTGAAACCAGGTCTCTTGGTCCAGGGATAGGAACACTAACACTGCACTACAATAGGTCCCCTACCTGGGTCTGCTTAATGTTTTTTGAAAAGGTCTCTACTTTTTTAAAAATGTAACCTTTTTTTCCTAATCAAACCTGTAATACAGGTAGGGACTCTACCTCTGTGACACTTGTTACTCTAAACTACAGAAACGATAACCCTTGTTAATATCTCAACATAACTGAAAATCCCATGCCACAAACAGCATGCTTTCCTGAGAGTTACAGATTTTATTGGAAACAATCCACAGTTACTTCCAATTTCCAACGCACTTCTTCCTGTTTTGCCAATTCATGAAATCAAGCTACCACCAAAAGATACTTACCTCAGTTTTCAGAGATTTCCTCAACGAACTGCTAGTAGTAAGGTCCATTTCAATGATTTCTCCTCAAGACTTCACCATGGCAAATTTCCCAGAGCTTTTAGAATGCTAGGAGCAGCATCCCTTTGACAGAAAACTACTCTTTCTCCTGTGAACTGCCTGGTACTCACAGAGAGTCCTCTGCTGCCTTATCCAATCTGAAGCTTTCTCTGCCAGTGAGACCACTCTCTGTTTTTCTCTCTGCCCAAAGAAATGTAAGACAGAACGCTTCCCAGTTTTGTTTCCAGGTGAGAAATATGGCACATAGGTTCATTAAATCTTAACCTGGGCCCTCTATCATGATTGTAACCATCAGTTGGTTTCTTATCAGACAAAGTCCAATGCAACCTCACATCAACCCCTTCTTCACAGCATCCTGTTTTTCTTTAAACTTAAGAAAGGACAATTAAACAAAACCATCTTACAGACACTATATTTGTAACATCACGTGACCAGATTGTAATATCATCAGAATATTTTCATCTCCTAGATTGGCTCCAAATCAAACACAATACTATAGAAATACATTATAAGATTGATGTTGGGTTCTAAAAAAATGAAATGGTATTGCAGCTGGACATTGTTACTAAGAAATCTCTGATTTTCTCCTTTTTAAGAGCAAATGAAGATTTAAATAATAAATTTAAATAAGGAATTGATTAAATAAATTTAATAATAAATTTAAATTAATGTAAATAAATAATGAACTCTTATGGAAGTCAAGAGAGGTCCAAACTATGATCAAATTTATGGTGTATTTAACAATGTTATAGCAGACTTTGACTGCATATTACAATTCCTCCGTTACTGATAGATCAATATTCTGGAAAAAGCATAGATATGTTCACTGGGAGAACCTACCATGACAAGCACTGCAATGGTTCAACGGATAGGTCACAAATACTTTCCCAGGGCAACCAAGGATGAATAATCAATATGGTCTTCGCTGCGTCATCCAATATCAAATAAAAAAGAAAAAGTGTAATTTATTAATTAATGAATTCACTGTCAACTCCCAGATCATTTTTTGCTTTCATCTTTATTTTAACAGTGTACCAGCCAAAGTTTGCACATGTCAGTCATTTCAGTTCTAATGTGCAGTATTTTATAGGTGCCCTGCACTGAACTGTCAAAAAGCACAAATTTAATCCAGTTAATTATACTATACTCATCCTCAGGTTGGCTGTCCACTTCATTTAATATTTCCTGCAAAATTTATGAAATTACATTCTGTTTCTGTATTAGTCAATAATTAGTTGGAAACAATAGGGCTTTCAACAAGTATTGCTGGGGCACTCCACTCAGCAAGTACCACTCTGCCTCCCTTTCCTGGGCTCATTTTCACTGCTTTCTTTCCTTCAGAGAACTTCTCATCCATATTTATTTTGAATAGCTACTACTTTCAACTTTTGAAACAACCCTTCCTGAGGAAGTTTATTAAAAGGCTCTGGCTTATGTTATATCATCTTGTTATTTCTTCAAATAAATAAAGGAAGCTGATCAGTTACCAACAATTTTAAAACTATTTTTTGCTTTTCATTTCAATACTATTGTCTGATAATTCTCAAGTTTCCTCTTGAGTTGCTGTCACTATATTGCTAGCTGTTGATGCAAAGCTAACAGGTTTGCAGTTGCTGATATAGAATTATCACCTTTTTAAATAGATTATTGTACAACTTTAGCCAGCTTCCCTACAACTCTCCTACATTGAAACTTCCTCATGCCTGCCAAGATATCATGTAACTCATTTTTTTTCTCTTAGTACCCTAAAATAACGATCACTTACCATCACCAATATATTTATTTTAATGACTTTAAGCGTGTACAGAATCATCATTTTGCTGATAACAAGTCCTTTAGTCCATGTAAATTATCTCTGTCCAGAGAAGGGATATTACTTATAGGGTTACGTTTTCTTAATGCATCCTTATCTTAAACCAGGTTTCTGAAAAGGTGAGTGCAGAACAGAAGAAGCTCCGAGCAACCTCTTATCATCGTCTTTCCTATGGATGCTTCAAGGAGGTAACCGGCTATATCACTTATTCTCTCTTTGTCCTTCATTCAGCCTATTAGGATTTCTCTAAGGTCATTATTCTGACCAGAAATCCTCCTAATGGTTGCAATTTTGTATTAAATTTTGAATTTAAAAAAGTGAATAATCCAGACACAGTGTTTCAAACTTCTTAGAAACTAGTAAATTTGAAAAGAAATTTGAATTCTCAGTGTCTGACATAATGGAATCACATGACAAACTTTCAATTTATACTCTAACAAGCAAAGTAAAATCAACATTGGCTGTACGTTACCTACTAAGCAACTGTACTCTAAATTGTAGAACTGGTATTCCTTATTAATTTTCTAACATTGAGCTGATAACTTTGCCCCTTGTGTTTACATTATAATTAGTCTCTTCTGGAGAAGAAAATGCTTTATTTCTTGCTAGATTATTTCCCAACATTAAAAAAAATTAATACATAACTTAAGACACAATCTCTCAA